TTTTCCTTTTTTTTTTTTTTTTTTTTTTTTCTGGTTGTACTTTTCTTCACATTTTGAGGGAAAAACATTCTGACACCCACAAAGGATCTGAAGATACAGTAACTGCACTTTCCTAAAAGCAAAACTTAAAGGAGCCTAAGGGAAATTAAGCTAGTTATTATTGTGTAGCAAAATAGAAGTCTGGATAATGAATAAGAAAGGTAGTACAAGCCTGATTCCTGACCAATTGCTAAGGCAGCCAAGCTGAAAACATTTTTAACATTTTTTAACATTTAAACTTTTTTTTTTTAAACATTTTTAAGTCGGGGATTATAATGTCAGAAATATAAATAAATACATGGGGTACTATTTTCTGTGGGCTGTCAGAAATGGGGTTAGATGTTAGATGGGGTTTGTGGGTTTTTTTTGCTATCACATTGAAGGAGTCAACTTCCAGACACTATGATGAGCTTTTAAGGAAAATAGCAAAGATATCAACTAATGCCATACTTTATTTTCATTATTCCTTTTTCATTAGTGAGCAGCCAGTTCTGATTTTTCTCATGCAACATCCTGAGAGACAGGAAAGAAGGATTGGCAGGACCAGGCCATCCTACCCACATTAAGATCTCTCTTCCAGCTCATACTCTGAAGCAGCCACAATGGAAAGGTCCCTGCAATGTAATATTTCATATCTCTCAAAGTGACAAAGTGCTGCAAACATTATGCAAACTTCATAAAACTCCCAAATCCTTGTAAGGGCCATACAGTCTCTGACATAATACTCAGTCCCAGAATTAGAAGGATCTAGCAGCACCTGAATACAGGAATAGGAATGCACATCCTCTGACCACTGAAGAGCAGCTGGAAGAAAGCTCAGCGCTGGGGAAGGCCAGGCAATGGCATCACGGAAAGGAAGGAGGTTTGCATCTCCCCACCCCTGTGGCCTCCTAAAGGCAAATGCCAGCAGGAAAACAACAGCCTCTTCTCAGCTGGTAAAGCATTAGCTCCTCGCCTGCAGAGCAGGGAGGTTTTAGCTGAGTAGGAGATAAATGAACCCCAAATAGACAAAATTCACCACCAAAAAAAATTTGGGTGAAGTTTGTAACTCCCATGTGGATTGTTGAATTACCTTTGCAGGTTTTTATCTTCATACTAAAATTCAAGAGCATGTAAACTTTGCTTCAAGTTACATTTTGAAAGACCTGCACATTCTTACTGAATATGTTTCAAAGAACTAGCACAATCCACCTAAGCTTTTAAACACATCAGGATCCACAAAAGCTAAAACTTTACTTTTAATTTTAATCTATTTTCTGAAGTCAATAAATCTCACATGACTGCACTAGGTTTACACATGCTTCATCGCCTGCCTTTCACTTCCATTTAAAAAAAATATTTTACTGGCTTGGCAACACATTTTTATCAAAGCTGAATATCACTCAGGTTTTCTAGAGAATCATCTACTGCTGTTGTGAAAAGCAGGTAGCCAAAAAGACTGGTGACAAGGCCTAAGCAGCCTGCTAGAGCAAAAGCCTTCATGTGTCAGTTCTCATTCTGTCAGACCAGATAAACATCATGGAAAATATTTATTAAAATCACAAGCTGGAGGAAAAGTTAAAAATTGAGACTATTTTATCACGAGATACAGATACACTGGAATGTGTGTAATTTTAGTGCTGATAGAGCTATTTTTCCCCATTTAAACTGCTTTATTTTTTTCCCTGCTGAAGACTTGTTATTGACCATCCAATATGGATACTCTATTCAAGTTTTCTGTCTATTTATGTTGGTTTATCTTACCAGTGATATAGTTATTTTAAAAAATCCAAAAGTTGGAGTGGCATATTATAGTTTCAGAGAGTAAAAATACAGAAAATAAGTATTTCTCAGAATTATAGCCATTAAAATCTACGGTGATCAGTTGGTTTTTTTTATTTTGGTGTTTTGGGTTTTTTTTTTTTTTTTTTTTTTTTTTTNTTTGTTTGTTTGGTTTTTTTTTTTAGATTTCTCTGTTATTTTTAATATTTTCTCACTTTCTATAGGAAATTAATGTATGTCACAAAAAATGTCAATTGCAAAGATTTCAAAAAGTACTATGGCATTATATCAGCTTGACTGCTAACTTTGTGGAATATGAAGAAAACATAAATTACTATTTTAAAACAAGCAGCCCTAAAGAAATTAATGTCTTATGCTTGTAACCTGGTAACAAAACAAAACTTTCAATGACTGTAGGGTAAGCCTTGACATGGGAAATATTTCTGACAAATCTGATCATGTTTTGCTTGATTATAAGATTACTTAGTTTAGCAATAAAATCTGAGATGCTTTTATTAATTTTAAAGGATTCTTCCTCCCCCATCCCCCACACTCTAAATTTTTGGCTTAAAATGACATAAAAATTAGTTTTATCCAACAAAGCTCTCCAAATTTAACACATCAGCAGTCCAATTTCATAAATCTATATATATATTCAATTTTTTTTCTTTATAATATATCACGTGCCCATCCTATCTATCTCAGTTCCTAGAAATACAATAACAGCACGCTGCACCTTTTCTGCCAGGAAAATTGGATAGCATAAGAAGGAAAAAATTCAGGTCAACTTCAATTTTTTTTATGGAGAAATATGTAATGTGAAATTGGCAAGGCAGCAGTGAGGAAAACTATGGGGAGATTGAGGAAGTAGGCCAGTAAAGAAAAGTATGTGTACCTCCTATAGCTGGTGGAAGGGTCAGGTAAAATACAAAGTGGGCAGAAAAAGATCAAAAGCTAAAAAGCAATTAACCCCTTGGCACTTGGAACCGGGATTTCCTGACACCAACTGCTAATACTGGCCTTAGGGGGTTAAAGGATCAAATAATCAGCCAAGTCCTGAAATAAAAGCTATCATTTTAGGCAGTAAAGGAAGGCATTTCAAGTACATTCTGGGCTGCCAGGCTAGCATGGTACAAGGGGAAAGGCACAGAGGAGAAACGCACTGAAAGATAAATGACAAAAATAATTTTCCAGATTTGGACTCAAACAGATTTCAACAAACCTTATTTTTTTCTTTCTTTCCTGAATTAAACACAGCTTTGTCCTATATATCTGTGTTCTGTGACCTCACCCAGATCTTTTCTGATACACAGGGAGATTTAACCTCCATTTTTCGAGCAAGTTCCCTCTCATTTTGTGACTAACTTCTGAACAATGTCTATACTAGCTGTAGGTGGTTTACTTAATTGCCTCAAACATTATGGTTCTTTTATTTCCTCCTTCACAGAAGGGAAAAAAAACTGTGGAAAAAAAAGAAGTAAAGTGACAATAGAGGAATTCCGTAACAAAAATACCAACAATTGATAGTCAAGCAATCTATGCAAACAGACAAATCTAATAGCAATAAAACTATGGTAGTAATGGTAGAGGGGTTTGGGTATTTATTCTGTTTTTATAAAAGCTATTTATTTCAGTACATCTCAGGAATTACACTTATTAACTGTTTTAAAAGTTACTAATTAACAGCTTTAACTTACTCTTGTATAAAAAATTGCTGGATTTTAATACCAGTTGATTTAATTTATTGTATTCATTTATTTAATTTATTGTATGGAAACTCTTTTTGAACAGAGGATGAAGCTGACTGGTTTTCTTCTGTGCAAACTGAGCACTCAGAAGCTGTTATATAAATGCTGATCTTATCACAAAACTTCAGTGCGTGAAAATATTCCTGCCCTAGTGAAATCAGTGAAACTTCATTGATTTCCACTAGCTACAAATCCAACATTGCTGCATTCTGAAATTGGCAACATTTTTCAATGGCACTTAACCTCTTACCACTTAGAAATATTACAAGAAAAATAATCTTTGACATCAGCTTCAATGTTTCGTTTGAAATTTTGTTTATAGGTACAGGAGTCTTTGTCAACTACCTGTCTTCATGGAGATGTAGTAGAGAGTAGGTACCAGGAGCCTGAGGGCAATTGAAAAAGGGCACAGAATCTGTTATTCCCTTGCAGTTGCTTGTGTTTGGCCAAACCATCTAGGGGGACTATTAATAACTGCCTACAAGGCAGTGTCTCACAAGACCTGGGTTTCAGGGAGGAGGTGCCATGAACTGGGTATCACCAAGACCCAGAGGGATTGTCCCGTGGTACATCCCTTGTACAGTCATGGCTTCAATTTGAATTGTGCTCACTGAATTCAGTGAAAATATCTCCATCCTCTTCGGTGGTCCTGGGCTCTGAGAGAGAGCTGGAAACAAAGACTTCTACAGGGATTAAGGGCAGTGGGAAAGAGAAAAAAATGATAGAAAAGATACAGCAAGACATAACACAAAAGTAAAAGAGTAATGAGGAGGAAAAAAGACCAAGCTGTAGAGAATCCCACTGTGTACAGAACCATACAGAGACAGTGAAAATGTACCTGTTACAAGCTGCTCTACCAAAAATTAAATAGATAGATAGACAGACAGACAGACAGACAGATAGACAGACAGACAGATAAGTGCTCCCTGCTGGCAAGACCAACGCACCTTGCAGTTCACAAATCAAAAGCAATACATGACATGGCACTTTGCTAGGTGGCCTCAAAATATACAGAGAGTGGCAATTCATGCAAAGTTATGATGTGATTCTCTACAACACCAATCCCCAAATGGATCCCTGATGAAAAGTAGTTGCCAACAGATTCCTCTCCAAAAAGGGAGACCCAGCCAGCATGTTACATTCCTTTGAAGTGTTCTACACAAACATTCTCTCAATGAAACATCATCTGCAATTCCTTGCTTCCCCAAACTTCTCTAATGAAGTCTAAAATAAATTATTTCCTGCTAGGCCAAAAACAGAGACGAAAAGTATGGGTTTGATAAAACATTAAAGAACATTCAGATTATTATCAAGATCCTACCATTCTTCACAGTATTCATTCTCCAAACCATATTTGAGAAGAAAGGAAATCCTGAGTTCCTAGAGCCTGAGAACATTGTGTGACTCCTTTCAAGACTAAATAAATTTAAGTTATTAGAATATAAACTCTACCTTTGGGTTGCCACCAATTAACACCTTTGTTCTGAATTCAGCAGCTTCCTAGAAAGCAGAGGAAGAAGATGACAAATGGAAAAGATCACACAGTAAATGATCAAATAAAGATTAAAACACATGAAACATATATTTTACAAATATGTTAAGCTTATTTGAAGTTTCCTCCAAATAACTCAGAGCCATACTATTTTATAAAGGTCTGCATGGAACTGATTCTTTTTAAAATTTGTATTATGCAAGCATATTGATATTCTGATAATGCAAAACAGCTTTTCAGTGAATATTCTAGGTTCAGACTACACTGCTGTAGGAAATTTCATCAATATCCTGGTACTGTTATCTAAAGTCAGTTATCTGTTCTTCCACTGCACCCTTAGGGAGAGACAGTAGCCAGCACGATATAGAATTTAAATTCTGTGGACCAAATGAACACAGGTACAAACTGACCATAAAGCTGCATTTTGATGTGAAACATTTTGGAGGTGAGCCTGGAACCTATCCTCAAAGCATTGTTCTCTGTCTGTACATGATCTTTTCTATTATCTCTTTATCCTAAGGAGATTAGTGATTATAACAGCCTTGTATTCTCAGTTCACCACTCCCTTCTCTTCCCAGAGAGATATTTCAAAAGGTCCTGGGCCATTCCTGTCATACCAAGCTTCCTTCCTCAGAAGCTGCTGCTGTGAAGACAGAGCTGCCTGACCTCTGCAAAAGACAAAGACACCATGAAACTCATTATGACTCAGTTAAAGGGTAAAAAATTCCACCTGTGTGCTGGTGATTGCTTAAAAGGGCTCACCCAAATTCCTGGAACAGCATGAACATGCACTTGCACAAAATAATTAAAAAACTTAAAGGAGTTAACTGGCATGATTCTCTCTCCATACTTAGTCTTATACTGACTTTTTTACTTTTTAAATAATGTTTATGGAAATCTGAAATGGTCCTGCTGAACTTGTCATCCTTAAACCCTCTATAGCCATGATCCCTCTCCATGATTTCCAGCTTTATTCCCCTCAACATCTCAAAATCATTCCCAATCACTCTCTTTGGAGACAACTCCAGGAAATTTCATATATACATTGTATGCTGGAAATAGGTAAACTGGTGCTCCTTGTATGTAATTAAGCATATATATCATTGATGACATGAAGATTAATGGAAAAAAAAAATTCAATCACAGTTTTGGCACAAAGACTGAGCTGTTCCTGTCAAGTAATCTTCAAGCCTAACTTCTGCCCAATCACTTCTCTCCCCCCTAAACATTTTCTGGTTTTGACATCATTTCTGCAAGCTATCAGAGGGTTCTGATGCTGCTTGATTAGGAGGAGACAAGTAGCCCTAGTTAATTTGCCAAAGATCATCTCCTCAAGGTGTATTTCAGACAGAAATGTAAGTGCTTTGGACCAACTTTTGAAGGAAGGATCCTCCTTCCCCACTGCCTATGATGATAGGTATTGTGGCAGGTTCTCAAACCACATCAGAATGCCATTCACTGCTGCTACTGAAAATAATTTCCTACATATTTTTTTTTCAACTACAAGTAAGTGGGTAAGGCCTCATGACAAGATTAATCAACTGCAGTCCACAGATGGTTAAGAAATCTTAGCTGATCAGAAAAACACTTTGAAGTGATGATCATAGGAAAGCAACACAAGCTAAAGCAAAGGTTCCTTTCTTATATCCTGGGGTGGAGGGAGGGGAAGGTGGGAATTCCTTTTTGATGTCACAATTCCTGGTTAACAAACAAGGTGGTTAATGGCAGACAAAGTTCCCAGTTAAACCTAAGTCAGTTCCTGTCCTGGTGAAAGTATTTACCACTACAAACTGCTCTCAACTTCTAGATGCAGTGCACAGAATCTTTTTTTATCACTGATAAATCTTATATTCAGAAAAATATCTCTTTCCCTGCCAGAAGGTCTTCATTCCATGGCTTTTAACAGTCTACGACTCCTTCATCTGTTCAGGGTTGTAAATAATTGGTAGTCAGGCTGTACTTGCAAAATATTTGTCATATGTAATCATAAAATAAACAAAATATATCACCAACTTCTAATCGAGACTGGTAGATTAGCAATTCTAAAGTTTTATTCTTGAATGAATAAACCTGTAATTGCACAGTATAATTTGGCAGGGATCCCTTAGGAAACACTGTGTGAATATACATCATAGTATTCTAATTTCATGTAATATTTTCCAAATTATATTGGTATTTCTTCAGAAAGTTCACATAAAAAAATAACATCTACACATATCTGTTTCAATACACATTTCCTTTTATATGTATTCTGTAGAAAAGATTTCTCCCCCCCATAGTTATCCTTGGATTGCTGCAAAATGACAGCTATAATTATACAGGAGAACCTTCTACCTTCCCTGAAGGGCAGAAATTACAGCAGGAAACAGTCTGAAAACCAGCCAAATGCTTGTTTAAAACTGCTTGAATGCTTTGCAAGTGAGGTATTTTTCAGCTGGGGCTCTTCTTTCAAGCACACAGAACAATGGCTCATATAAATGCAAAGCAGGTATGAGAAACAGGCAGCATGGTTCCCCCAATCTGAGGCTATTAACCATCTGACCCAGCACTGGCAGGACGCATCTCCAGAACGTCACCACTCCCTCTGACACAGCCCAAGGACCAGGGAACATATTGTGAAAGATAAAGGGGCAAAACAAAAAGTATAAAGTCCTCCATCCTCCTAGGCAAAGAACTATATTGCAGTAAAACCTTTAAAGTATTTTTCCCTGTTTTACACAGCCTGCTTTTTACATAAAGGAAACAGGAGGACAAAGTCCTCTCTCACACACAAAACCTTTGAAAAGCTCTTTGAAAAGCTTTACAATTTCAACAGAGGCTTCCTGCAGCCCTTTGAGAAGGCAAACAGTGCTTTTAAGTGCGATGTTCTTATTCTTTTCAACTTGTAGATAAAATCCAAGTCTGATGGACAGCATCCCCCACATGCACTAGTTTTGCAAAGGAAGTTAAATTTATCTCACTGATAGCGTCATAAGCATGCAGTGGACAAGAAAACATATGCCAGAAAATCACCACAGTAAAATGAATACCATCGAGTCTGCAGATGTGAGCACAGCATCAGACAGATGCATTTTAGACAAGGTTATTAACAGAAACTAGCTCAGTAATAGAACAGTACAGTAATCATGCAAGATCCTCACATGTGGATAAAGACAAGCTGATGATTATAAAGGTGGGATTAAACACCTAATTCCTATCTCAAATAAAGATATGTTCCTCAGATAGTATCTAAATTATCAGAAGTCTCAAAAAGCCCAAGGAGTTACCTTGAAAGGATACAACTTTTCCTTGTGACCTTTGTTTCTCTGATTAGTTTCCATTCATGCAGTGGAAACCTGGATGTGAAGATACAGAAAAGGACATCTCACATCTAAATACAGGCAAACATTTCAACAGACCTTGTAGCTAAGCATGTTCAGTATTCCATGTGCCTAACTGCAAAATGCTGATTATGGTTTTTGGCAGTCGGGAATTACAAGGGGTGCTGGAAATGTTTACTCCTTTTCCTTCCTTCTGGCCAGGCAGTGTGAGTCTCACAGGCTGGATTCAGGTGACCCTTTAGGAAAGCACGGGGGTCACATCCTTACCAACAATCAGGCAGAACACCTTCCAGGAGGAGGTTCTCTACTGCAGAGCTGAGCTGGAACTAAGGCAAAGGTGCAACAAAAAACACTGAATCGATGAGCCTTTATTTGTGTAAATTGAAGCCATAAATTACCAGCTCTTCATTTCAACTGGGAGTTAGGCTCTGCTTAAACTTGAGCTCACAGGGAGAAGATTATGGTTCTAAACCATAATTAATTAATGAAAGGATGAAATTCACCAACACCTCTGTCTTCTGTGCATCCACATCATGTATTTAATATGAGCTCATGCTTTCAAGCCTGTTGATTCTGCTGAAATAAAATACATTCGATGTTCAAAATTTTAACTTCCATTCAGTTCCATGTCTCCATTCTGTAGAGTGTCTTTCACTGAAAAAACGGGTTATTTTCCTTTACTGCTCCCCATAAGAACCTATTGGCTGAGAGGGTATTGTTTGGTTACATGCCCATATTTGCAACTAGAGAAAATAAAAAAAAAAGAAACCCCAAAGAAATTTAAAAATATTGCATAAAGTATTTGGGGGAAATCAGTCACCTGGTCTCTGCCAGTGGCATTCATGTTATTTAACACAACTGCAGGCCCGACCAGGAAATCATAAAAGGTGACAGCTTAAGAGTTTTTAAATTGGGTTTAACTTCAGTATTTTCTGAAGAAACCAAAAATACACATCATGTGCTGGTCCCAGTGGCAATTATCTAAGTTTGAAATAAAAAAATTATTAACATAAGAAAATACATCATACAAAGGGATAACTATGCTGTTTTAAACATTATTATTTCCAGCCTGTATTTCTACCTTATGTAATGCAAGTTACCTGCTGATTAATCTTTAAGACCCAATTCCAGTTTTAGCTCTAAGGGAGACATTTTTGAAGACATTTTCTTAACTTATTAAGGTAAATATGATGTATGGCATTAATCTAACAAGACACGAAATTATTTTAGGCATGCAGGAAATGAAAGTCAATTTCCACATGTATCAAAAATGCATGCAGGTTAAAACTTGCACAAAACTCACCTTGGAGAAGGCTGAAAATGAGTTACTCAGCTGATCTGGGAATATGAAATTAGATTTTGGTGAAATATTAGAATCCTTGTTTTGAGAAAAATCTACAGGTATAATAAAAGACTAAACATTATTAAAGCCCAGCTATCATCCTTATTGGTAAGATTGCATAAGAAGGAATTCTTATTTAAGGAATTTAAGCATATACCACATAGGTTTGGGATGATGACAGGAATTATTCTGCATACATATACCAGATTTTTAATTATTTTTACCTCTGAGATGACCTTGGTTGGTTGGAGCATGGTGCTGATAACACCAAGGTTGGGGGTTTGATCCCCATATGGCTCGTTCACTTAAGAGCTGGACTTGATAGCACTTGCGAATCCCTTCCAACTCAGAATATTCTGTGATTTATTTTAATTTTTAATTTAAATTCTGCCTGGACTGCTTTTGAATATTCTAAAATCCAGAATACTTAATCCAGAGTACTTAACTCACCTCTCTATTCTACTATTCTACAGTTGCACAATATTTCTCAGATCAAGATAATATTTAAGTTTACTGACAAATGCAACAAAGTTTAACTAAACATCTTCTAATATTTCATGGCCAAATAAGTGAAAATAAGCCTTTTCACCTGTTTTCAGACCAAGGACTGAAAGAATCTATAAATATGATTAAAAATAAAAAATTATAAAAATATTATAAAAATTAAATATTATAAATATCTGATTAAAAAAAAGATTGAAAAAATAAAGCAGCACACTGTGTCAAATGGAGGAAAAAAAACAGTACAGACTTTTGACAAGAGATGAATATTAAGACTACTTTTTATTTATTACACACATTTGTAATGTGCATCTGTTTGTTTATATCAACCAATCCACTGTTTGCACACTGACTGGTTCCTACACTCTCCTGTTCCACTGGACCAGGAGAACAAATCCTTGCACTCTTGCCCTTTGAAGCAGCTCTCACATTTACAGGGAATCTAAAGCAGCTCCTTCACTGGAACCACAGCAAGCATTAGAAATGGCACGGCAGGGCAGCACACCCCTGCCTATTGCACTGGGCACAGTGCCTCCCACCACAGGAAATCCATTATCCTCTGCTCTGCTAGGCATGAAAGGGTCACGACTTTCTGTCATGAGTCTGTGCCCTCATTGAATTCCTACTCCCATTTCTGTACTGTGCCTGAGTGACCTTTATACACAGGCATATATCAGGCAGTTCTTAAGCTCCATAATTATTTTTTTCAATCAAAATTCTGCCAGTTTTGGTTTCTCTCCAGAGAAATATCTATCCACATTTTAGGAGTACATGAAATTATTGAAGATATGCTTAAGAATCTGGGCACCTCCTTTCCTTTCTCTCTACCACAGTCATCCTTGGGCTATTGAAAACAGCTCCTTACATTTCCTAGTCCATATTTGCATTTCTGCAGAGAAGAACTGCATAAAGAGTGATGCACTTCACTCACAAGACAGAAACATTGGTATATTTGATTGATATAAGACAGTGAGTTAAGAACCTTCAATGATAAAGCCAGCCCTGGTTTAGCAAGATTTGATGGCAAGGTACACAAATATTTACTGTGCAAAGGACAGGGTCAGACAAAACTGTCAGGAAGACCCTGCTTTTGAGACACGGGGTTCAGAAAGGACCTCCCTGTGCTCTAAACACCTTGCCAGAGAGCAGTCTATGAGCAGATGGATGGAGACAGTCCCAGAGTTGGCCAATAGTTTATGTCTAAAGGCTCACATATGTGCTATCAATCCTTCCTATCTGTTAGCCAAGATGTCAGAGTTTCAACACTTTTATTCCCACTTTGTTTACTGAGTAACTGATAAAGATTCTCTCAAATCTGAGGAGTAGAAAGCTGGAGAGACACACCATCCCTGCTCCAGGGGAGATCCTGGTGTGCAGCCTGCTGCTGGGCTGGCCACCCTTCCTGGATAAGAAGACTGACTTAGAATTGTATCTCATACCTGCCATGTGCAAGACAGCCCTGGGCTGCTTGCCATTGGCTCCCCAAAGCCCAGCTGAAGCTGGGTGCACACATCCTTACAGGGATGAGGCATCCATCCCATCCCTGCAAGGATGAGTGGGGCAGGGCAGCACAGCACCACAGTCACTGAATTGTTCGAGCATAAGAAACTCACAGCAATGGACCAGCAGCACAACCATTTATCTTCTTGATGATTTTCAGAATAAAAGTTTGCTAAACCATTGGTAGTCCTCATTTTTTATGCTCTTCTGCTTGTCCCATTTGCCAATATTGTCTGTCTTCAGTGAGATGAGGTGGGAATTGCAATATATCAGATTAATACATCTATAGACCTAAACTCAGCCAGAACCAGTCAAACATCTACTTTGGATCTCAATGGGGCATTTTTCATGCACAAGTTAATTAAGCTATTCATTAAGCTAAGGTTATAATTAAAAAAGACAAAAGCAAGTTTGGTGTAACTACTAACAGAATAAATGATCAAATACAGGACTGTGGTGGTAGACCTCTGGTAAACCCAAAAACAGCTTCAATGATGATCTTCAATGCAAAACCTGGTAAAATGCCTGCACCAATACTGGTTCAAAAAGTGAAGTGAGCTTATTTACATATTTATGTATTTCCTACTACAATTTATTTATGCATTAAACTACTTGTAGTCCAGAAAAGAGTCTTTTTACTGATTAAGATAATAAACTTTCAAAGTAACTTATATTTAACATAATCTGATGACATGAATGTTCATAAAGAAATAATACACTTTATATGTTCATCCTACCAATTTTCATACCACTTTTTATGTTTAAACAAGCTCCTATGCAGTTGAAACTCAATTCATCTCCAAGGAGGAGAAGGCACCTAAAGGATGGATCTGTAGCTGGAATTTCTGCTTTGCAATGAGACCACAGCTGGATGCCAAATGAACTTCAAACCACAGGCCAGGTTGGATGAGCCCTGAACAACCTGAACTAGCAGGTGGCATCCCCACCATGGCAGGGCAGTTGGAGGCTTCCTGCCTGAAAACAAAATATATTCAACACACATTGGTAGGAAAGCAATGTCGAGTATACTTGTTTCATCTCTATTTATTATAAAGGCTATTCAGCATATCTTTGTAAGCTAGGACTAAACTCTGCACACCCAGATAAGCCACATTCCCATTGTTTTCTCGAGGTGTTTATGAAGGTGCATGTCCACACATTCAGAACTCGATGTAAGGTGGTGATCTCAAGTATGATCACGTAATGCATTAAGAGTTGTAAATTCCCAATTTTGTGCTTAAATATACTGTTTTGTTTAATGGGAAACCACTCCCAGAATTTAATATAGAATCTCTGCAAAGTGCTCATTTTTTCCAGCTTTTCAAATCTTCTCTCTCTATGGCAAGTGAGCGACTCAGGAAGAATTTTCAGTAAGTGGTATCAAGTGGGCCCAAAATACTCATTGACCTTGAAAGCAGAAAATGGAAACAGTCACTTCAAATGATGCAATTTGTATTCTCCAGCAGTGTTAGAGCGAATATTATCCAGCTAATCTGTAGAACTCTCAAACCATTATAATTTACCCTATGAAACAGATCATTGCCAGAAGAAGAACTGGCAATATTGGAGTACTCTTTACTCAGCTTTTATACAACAGTCAAGAGATCTCTCATGTTCTCAGGGATGTAACCACCACAAATATTCTGGAGGTAAAGACACATCTTATACTGTTTGCACAGATCACAACAATACAAAAACACCTCCAGAGAGTGAGTGACAGCAATTTAAGAACAGTGAGGGTTTTTTAAAAAACCTTTGGAATTTCAAAATATGAGGGTATTCAAGAGTTAAGTAGGACAAAAAATCAGGGACAGGTCAGTAATTTACATTTTACATTACCAAAACGCAATAACAAATTTAATGGGTCAAAACAGCAAACTAAAAATCCTTCCCTAAACACAGATCAGCAGCACTGGAAACCCATTATACACAAATTGAAGGAACAATCTAATTTATTGAAGACAGTAGTGGTATCAAAAAGAAAAATCCACCACCACCACCCACCCCACCCTGTAAGTACAAAGTTCATATTTTATAAGTCTATGTTAGAAGCCATGAGCACTTCCTACCAGTAACAGTCTTGGAATGCAATCTTTACCTCTCAGAGGAGTGTTCAACCTTTCCCTGTGTTAGCATGGTAACAAATATATGCTTCTTGTACTTTCCAACCTAGATATGAATATTTTAAAATAAATTACTTCGTCCTTATGAGGCAAGCTAGACTTTCACCTTTCACACAAAGCCCCCTTTTCTTCTCCCCCTCTCCTAATACAAATCTATTTCTAGAAAACAATCATATTAGCATTAGCACTTCTCCCAGCCTAAATAAGACAGGTTTTCATCTACTCTTAGAGAATCAGCTCTCCCCTTCCTAGAAAGCACTGGCAGCACAACCATCCTCCTTTCCCAGTGGAAATGGCTTTGCAGTGTTCATGTGGCACAGAAGGCAGCACACCCAGGGAATGCACAGGCCATATTTCAGAGATGGATATCTGGATCAGATTAAACAAGCAGCATTGATACTGTCAGCTGCAAAGTACAAATGATAAAAATAACAGGGATGATAATAACTCCAGAATCTACCTGCAAATATTGCTATAAATAGCAAAATCCAGATGATATGAAGTCTGGGGCAAGCATTCAAAATATTTTAATATAAATTCTGAAACTTCTTCAATTAAAATATCTTATCTGATCTCATGTCAAATTCTGCAAGACTTCTAGCTGACACTACTAATTTTAAATTATGACCACAAATATCTCTTCATTTGATAAAAGAAAATACACAACTTCCTACTAAAACTCTAGGTAATAATGTCTAAAGTTTTAACATAGCCAAGCTAATGACAGATCAGAGATTTGAGTCAGTATAAAGAAATTCCAGTTGGTTACCTTCTGAGATGTGCTAAACTGTGCAACTGAGGATGCTCCACAAAAAATCACTCCACTATGGAATGAAAATACTATCACATTGAAAAATTATGAAAATCATTTA